CCCTAGCCGCCAGTGCTCATCGGAGAAGAAGAACCAGACGCCGGAGGAGCCGGCTGCTGCCGCACTGGGGAAGTTTTCGACCGCCGATCGAGGTAAATTTTTTCCTCCCTGCTCGTTTTTCGATGCTAAGTCTGCCTATGGCCAAACCGGAGCCAAACCACCGGCCAAACGGTCGGAAAACCCAACCCAGCGGCGCCGCCGCGCCCCCCCTCGGTTTTTGCCTCCGATGAGGCCTTTCCCGGCCTCCGTTTGATGCAAATTTTATACCACTGTGATCACCGTTCTTTTCTCTACAGGTTGATCGGAGCCAAACATCAAAACACGACTCATGTCGGAGGAGCCGCCGCACCCGAGGGCATCGCCGCCGGTAAGTTTCGATTTTTCGTGATTTTTCAGCCCACCGAGGGTCCTAGGGTTGTTCTATCGCAGGGACCGATGCAAGCGTGGCCGAATTTGGCCGAAAACTGTCGAAAACGGCCAAACCGAGGCGAATCGCCGTCGCTTGCGGCGTCGTCGTCGCCGGAGCACGGTGGAGTCGCCGTGCCGGAATTGCGATATTGGCTGAAAGGGGCCCTAGGTCTGATTTGGGATTTTTTTGGATACGTGCAGGTACCGGTAGTGCGTTTCAGTTTTCTGGAAAAAAATTCAGGAAAATTAGGGACAGCCTGTAGGCGCACTGTAGAGCTGTATTCAGACCCCGAAATAGGTAAGGACCCCTCATCCTATTTCCTATCACGGTATTAAAGCTAAATAAATAATTAAACTGTACTGTGTGACTTTATAAATGTATAATTGATTAATGTTGCCAATGGAGCCCGAGTCTGATACAGTGTTGGTCTATTATTGTCTGATTTAATTTTCAGCATTAAATGCAGTATGATGTTTGATGTAATTATATTATGGTCTCGTATGCATGAATAATGATTTCTTTTATTTTGGTTGGTATTATGCTTAATCCGATACTGTGTTATCTTGTTTGGTGTCGATGATTGGTTTACATGTTTGTGTATGATTGGATGATTGAGACCTAGAAAAAGGGCAAAAAGGTTATGTGAATTGATAAGTGAAAAATGTGGACAACCTGACTAGATATCCTGGGAGATGGTGGACGGACCGGGTCCGTAGGGAACTCTACCGGGAATGGGGTCTCTCATACCGGACGGGGTATGGAGACCTTATGTGTTTTGGCGCCCATACCGGACGGGGTATGGGGACGGCCCGTTTCACCCTCATACTGGACGGGGTATTGAGGTTCATGGTTTTGGCGCCCATACCGGACGGGGTATGAGGACGATTCTGGAATCAGGTTATAAATGTTAAGGGTTCACGGGTAGCAGGACCCCTATGGATCCCTATGGATACTAGTAGGCTGGTAAATGAGGAAAATGTGTTATTTAATGATTGAAATGCAAAGGCGTGGTAAGTATTATGTTATACAGTTCATATGATTTCATGATGATGATAATGTTATTGCTTTCATATGTTGTTTTATGGATCTTACTGAGGTAAGTGGACAGTAAATGTTTTTATGTTAATAAACGAGTTTATTATAAATTATGCTCCATTGGTCTTTTTTGTGTTTTCTACCCACCTTTACCTCCGTGGTGGTGAGATAGTGTGATGTCTTTACTGGGCTGGTATAGCTCATTCCTTATTTAACCATTTCAGATCAGGAAGACATTGTTTCCGAGCCCGTTCCGCAGGAAGACGGCGAAGGGGACGCCTAAAGACTCCGTAGTTATATTTATAGTTCTTATTTTCGAGTATCTCTTTTAGTTAGTTTGTTCTTTTATATTTTGAGCACGTTTTTGGTTTTTGTGTAAGGGATGTTAATCAAAATTTTTATTACGCTTCTGCATTTGACATTTTTAATACACATATTTCATTCTAAATTTCCGGGGCCGTTACATTTTATTTGATTTTATTTTATTTATTAATTAATTTATAAGGTTGTAATTTAATTTAATTTTATTTAATTTAGATAAAAATAAAAATAATAATAATAACGGGTAAAATTATTTTTGGAAATTATTTGAAAATGATTTTGGGAAAAAGAGGTGAAAATTTAGATTCTAGGGGTATTTTTGAAAAGAAAATCGAAAATCGGGGGTCAAAACGTCATTTAAAAAAGTTATACCACGTCAGCAGCCCCGACTAACCAAGACACACAGCGTGGCAAGGACGCTGATGTGGGAGGCCACGCGGGAAGGAGCCACGTGGGTGATCCGCGTGCACGCGATCGAACGGTCTAGATCTCACACGTGCGGACGTCCCAGATCTCACGCGTGCGGACGACCCAGATCCCAACGCGTGCGGACGACCCAGATTTATTTTCATTTTAATCGCGATCGGACGACACAGATTAAATCGTGATGGACGGTTGAGATTAAAAGGAGAAGGTTATAAATAACCTCACCCACACCCAACCCCAAACCCTAGCCGCCAGTACCTTCGCCGGAGAAGAAGACCCAGTCACCGGAGGGGCCGCCGCCACTCGCCGCCGCATCGGAGGATTTTTCGACTGCCAAACGAGGTAAATTTTCTCTCATTAGCTCGTTTTTCGATGTTATATCCGCCTATGGCCAAATCGGAGCCAAACCACTGGCCAATCGGCTGGAAAACACCGTCGAAGTCCAGTGGCATCGCCGCAACTTTCCTCGATTTTTGCCTCCGATGAGGCCCTTTCCGATTCCCGTTCGATGTAATTTTTACACCACTGTGATCACCGTCCTTTTCTATACAGGTTGATCGGAGTAAAACATCAAATCGCGACTCGCGCCGGAGAAGCCGCCGGTAAGTCTCAGTTTTTTGTGATTTTTTGGCCCACCGAGGGCCCTAGGGTTGTTTTATCGCAGGAACCAATGCAAGTTTTGCCGAATTAGGCCGAAAACAGCCAACCCGAGGCGGATCACCGCTGTGGGCAGCAGTGCTATCGCTGGAGCACGGCGGAGCCGCCGTGCCAGAATTCTGAAATTGGTCGAGTAGGCCCTGGGTCTGATTTTGAGTTTTTTCGGGATACGTGTAGGTACCGGAAGTGTATTTCAGTTCCCAGAGAAAAATTTAGTGAATGTAGGGACTGCCCGTAGGCGCAGTGTAAAGCCAATTTTAGACTCCGAAACAGGTAAGGATTTCTCACTCCATTTTCTATCACGGTATTAAAGCTCAATAAATGATAAAATGGTATTTTATGAATTATGTATAATTAATTAAGGTTGCTAATGGAGCCCAAATCTGATGTATTTTTCGGTCAGTTGTTGTTTGATCTATTTTACAGTTTTAAATGCAATATGGTTTATTTTATGGTTTTGTATGCATGAATCACGGTTTCGTTTATTATGGTTTGAATTATGGTGAACCCGTTGTTGTCTTGTTTGGTGTTTATTACTGGTTTACGTGTTTATGTTTGATTGGATAATTAAGACCAAGAAAAATAGAAAAAAAGTATGTGAATTGATAAATGGATGATGTCGACAGCCTAATTAGATATCCTGGGAGATGTTGGACGGACCGGATCCGTAGGGAACCCTACCGAGAACGTGGTCTCTCATATCGGACGGGGTATGGAGACCTTATGTGTTTTGGCACCCATACTGGATGGGGTATGGGGACGGCCCGTTTCACCCTCATACCGGACGTGGTATTGAGGTTTATGATTTTTGGCGCCCATACCGGACGGGGTATGGGGACGGCCCTAAATCAAGTTATCAATATGAATGGTTCACGTATAGCGGGGAACCCTATGGATCCCTATAGATACTAGTAGATTGATAAAAGAGAAAAATCTGTTGTCTGATGATTAAAATGCAAAGGTATGATATATGTTATGTTATAAAGTGTGTATGATTTCATGATATTATAATGTTATTATTTTCTTATGTTGTTTTCATGAAGCTCACTGAGGTAAGTGGACAGTAAAAGATTTTATTATTGATAAATAAATTTATCATGAATTATGCTCCATCGGTCGTTTTCATTTTCTACCAACCTTTACTTCTGTGACAGTGAGATAGTGTGATGTCTTTACTGGGCTAATATAGCTCATTCCTTATTTAACCATTTCAGATAAGGAGGATTTGGTTCCCGAGCCCGTCCCGCAGGAAGACAGCGAGTAGACGTCTAAGGATTTTATAGTTTTATTTATAGCATTTATTACTAGTATTTACCTTAGTTAGTTTATTCTTTCATACGTTGAATACGTTTTTGATTATTGCGTAAGGGATGTTAATCCGAATTTTTATTTCGCTTTCGCACTTAGAACTTTTTAATACATACATTTCATTTTTATTTCTGGGGCCGTTACAGAAACTGTGAATACTACTAGTTTCTTGGTTAATAGATCTCCATTCACAACTATTGAAAGTAATACTCATTTTGAGATATAATCTGGGTCACGTGTTGATTACTCTCAGTTGAGAGTGTTTGGTTGTCATGTTTATGCTCATGCTAGAGATGGTAAGATTGAGTCGAGGGCAAAGAAGTGGATATTTTTAGGGTATGCATATGGAGTGAAATGTTATAGGTTGTGGTGTAATGATCCCAAGTCTTCAGGGTTGATTATCAACAGAGATATGATATTTAATAAGTCTGCTTCATTAGACAGTCAGAAGGGGATAGTATAATCAGATCACAGTGTCAGAAAACAAGCAAAATTTGAAGTTCAGTCAAATGGTCCAGAGAATGAAGTACATGATCTTAATCAAGAAGGTGATAGTGTACCTGATCAACAACAACCATATAATATTGCAACAGACAGGGAGCGAAGACAGATTAGACAACCACAGAGGTATGAGAATTTGGTTGTATATAACTTGTCAGCTGCGGGATCAATTGATTTGCAGGAACCAGGAGTTCAGATCCTGGTCAAATGATTGGTGTTGTATGTGAAGAACTTGATGACATATGTCTTTTTGTTCAGGGATCAGATAGCAAGTTTAGGTGCGGCCTAAACTTGGCTGAAGTATGTGATACTCAATAGTGCCCCAGTGGAGGCATATTGGCGAGACGGTGCGACAAAATGGTTAGCTGCTTTGATGATAGAGAAAATTCAAATCAAGGAAAAAATTTGTTGATGTGTCTTAAATTTTAGCGATATTTATCTATATTTTGAGAATAATTTATTTGAATTTTCTTTGTATTTATCATGAGAAATATTTGATGTATATACTATATAATTGTTATTTGTGACGAACTCAGCTAATTTCTCTATAAATAAGTTTGCTAATCTATCGGTAATATACTATTAGATTACATAGTAGAATTTTTTTTTGCAAGTTTTACCCGTGAATGCAGGTATACTATCAAATCACGTAAAATACTTGTATTTTTTTCTTTATACTTTTACTTTATTATGATTATGTATGCTTTAGAGAATAATTTTTTCTAACATAAATCTATTATAAATTATTAAATTTCTACTTATGTATCCTTTTTAATTGTTTTATTACAAATTTTATTTTATGACATATTGACCAGTTATATAGAATTTACAAATAAGAGAAAATTAAACTAAATAAAATAATTTCAAATTACCAGAATGAAGTATGTTGCATTTTGACCACAATGGTTTTTTAGTAATTTTGTTTTTAAATTTAAAAAATTCAAAAATAATTTTTATCTATATTTTCTTATCATTTAATTTATGTTTTACAATTTGCATGGTTTATATATAAAATAAATTAATCACTGTTATTAAATTTTATAAAACTAATTATATGAAGCAAATTTTAAACCTTACAAAAAATTACCGTCAATTTTTTATTTGCAATTATAAAACAATCATGGGGTTTACATAAATTAAAAACGAAATATTTTTAAAATGTAATACATTTATTTAATTATTTTTAAATCAGGGTTTATTTATTTAAATAAAGGTCGAGTTTACGGTTCTAGCATAGGCCCAACTCCACACAAGAACGGATTAGGGTTTCTTCTTATCAACCCTTTATAAAACCTATCCCTGCCGTCCCTCTCCTTGCTTCTTCTGCTAACCAGACCTCAGTTTGAGGCAGAAGTATAGCAGTAACAGCAGCCGCCATGGTACCTCATTTCCCTTCTTGGTACTATTTTTTGATTTTTTTTTTTTTATAAATATTTTCTCTTTTAATGTGATTCTATTTGCTTGGTTTAGGTGAAGTATTCAAGGGAGCCTGACAATCCGACAAAGTGTATGCTCTATTTTCTACTTCTCTTTTTCATGTTTTTATGAAGGTATTTCTTGTTATGCACTCTGTTGTTGTTATTAAGATCTTTGTTAATATTGCAGCCTGCAAAGCGAGGGGCTCCGATCTCAGGGTTCATTTTAAGGTATTCATATATTTCTCGATTCTTTTCTTATTTGCGAATATCTGGGCAGTATTTTCCCCGTATTTTCAAATGAAACTTGAGTTTTCTTTCCAATGTTGAGCTGTTGGGATGGGATTTTTTAGGAACCTGATGAAAAAAGCAGGGGCCTGTTGCCTCTTTATGAGCAGGTCTCTCGTAAACGTCAGGGAGATCGAGTTGGCATCGTTATTGGGTGAACCTCTGTTTGTTTTCTGTGGCTGATGGTTCAGTAAATGATGGCATACCCGCAGTAACATTCTGTTTCAAATTGACTGCTGTTCTCTATATAAAAGAGTAACACATCAGTTGAAGTACTACCTTGAAGTATATGTTCTCATTTTTGACGAGATTTCTAGTAGATCTTTTGTTGGTTATGTTGATAAATAATATGATCGGCAAGTTAGAACGGCTGACCATTCTCATGTGATGGATAACAAAGATGACCTAGTAGTGATTAGGATTTGCTTGAATTTATTATGAACTAGAGTGGATTTGCGTATGTTGTAGGGGAGATAATGGTATTTTTCTGCCTCTTGAAGCTATTGATTCAGTTGCATAAATGTTCTTTGAAGTGTGTTTTGGGGCAAAGAAGGTGGTTATTAGTTTAAGCAATTTGGCTCTTTTGCTGTTGATTCAGCGATTCGGTGATTCAGTGGATATTTGTACTTCAAACACCTGAAGAAAAAAGCAGGGATTTGTTGCCTCTTGTGAACAGGGCTCTCGTTAACTTCAGGGAAATCATTTGCATTGTTATTGGGTGAACCTCTGTAGTTTTAAGTTGCTGAAGGTTCAGTAAATAATGCTACATATACTCTTCTGCTAAATCCTTTCCTATGAAGCAACATGGTGCAACCATCTACCATTGTTGATTTTGGATATAGTTTTTCTTTTATTCTCTGTTCCTAACTAACTAGATTTATTGTGCTGCTTCCATTTTTATTGTGATCGATTGAACTGAAAGTTCTGCTTATATATGTTGCCTGTACTGTGGCTTGTGGAATGTGGATTCTAAATGCAAGTTTCGGAAATTTGGGGCCTCTGTCAGTATTTTTAAAGTTTTTCTACTACAAACCTGAAGAGAAAAAGCAGGGCTTTGTTGCCTCTTGTGGATAGGGCTCTCGTAAACTTCAGGAAAATTACTTGCAATGTTATTGGGTGAACCTCTGTCGTTTCAGTAACTTAAGGTTCAGTAAATACTGCTACATCTGTACTTCCATAGGAAGCAGTGTGGTGACATAATCTTTCCTCATGGATTTAGGTCTAGTTTTTCTGTCTCTGTTTCTAAATAATCGGATCTGTGATGCGGCTTCCATTTTTTATTATGATCATTTAACTGTAATTTGTGTGTATATATGTTGCTTGTATTGTGGATTGTAGAATTTGGTTTCTGATCAGTTCAGCTATTTGGACTTCTGTTGGTTAATTTGGTAATGCAATGAGTTCTTTTCACTCCAAAGCTGAAGAAAAAATCAGGGCTTTGTTGCTTCTTTTGGACAGGGCTCTTTTAAACTTTAGGGAAATGCTTGCACTGTTAATGAGTCAATTCTGTTGTTTTTTGTGACCAAAGGTTCAGTAAATAGTTCAGTCTAAAGCTTTTTCTAGGAAGCGCGTGGTGGAATGATTTAATTTTCTTGTTCTTGTTTAGCTTTCTGTAGTTTCTGTTTTTAACACATTTTTTATTCTGTTAGATGGACTCCTGTGAGTTCTGTTAACAACTGAAATTACTTCCTTTGTCATGGACCTGTCCTTTCTGTAGCGATTAACATATCATGCCCTCTCTTAACTGTCTTCACAGAACACAAGGGAGACTGCATTCGCAATCAGAAAGCTTCCTTTGGCCAAGGCGAAAAGGTACTTGGAGGATGTTCTTGCTCACAAGCAGGCTATACCTTTCCGACGATTCTGTGGTGGTGTTGGACGCACTGCTCAAGCAAAGAACAGGCATTCTAATGGTCAAGGTCGCTGGCCAGTGAAATCAGCCAAGTTCATTCTTGATTTGCTGAAGAATGCGGAGAGCAATGCTGAAGTATGTTCTTTTTTCCCTTTCTTTCTTGTTATATTCTTAATTGAGTATAAGTATTAATGGGCTCAAATACATTTTTGGTCTCTGTTTTTTGTTTTGTTCAATTTGGTTATTGTATTGATTTTGTCTTTTAATTAGTCCCTATATTTTTTAAAATATTCAAATTAGTCCCTCTCTGTTATTGGTCTCTACCTCTGTCAACAACTAAACCATGTGTCACCTGGCAATTTTTATCGAACACTTTTCCGTGCTAGACATCATGCATTGTTTGACGGGAGATCTGATATATGAAGTTATTAAATTTGAATCAGTCTAAACTGGTCCAAATAAAGAAAAAAACCAAACAGTTCTCTCTTCAAATATCTAAATCCCCAATCTCTCTTCTGTATATCTGCCTTTACATAACCAAAATATGTAAACTGCACTGCAACAACAATAACTGACAACACGATTCCTTTTAAGGTCAGTCCTTTAATGGCAGCCAGAAACAAATCCTCCATTTTTTATCGGACCAATATTGATCGTCAGTGCCAGATTTCCACATCCTCATGTAGCTCAATCTCCACAGAAAACCTCACCCAGATCCAGAAGAACCCCATAAATCTTTTCCTTCTTCCACTGTCGACACTAATGAAAGGAGTAGCTGGAGCAGCTACAAGAAGGATAAAAAAATGAAGTCTGAGCGACAAGAAAGATAAGCCTGGAGGAGAGATGTGTTGTTCAAGCTGGTTGCTAGAGTATTGACAGAGAGTATGGGGAAGAAGAATAATTTTAATTTTGTCCGTCCAAATTTAATGACTTTAACATGTCAGAGGCCATGTCAGACAACACATGAAATCGTCAGTGGAAAAATGTTCAATAAAAAACTGCCATGTGGCAAGTTTGATGACACATGGCAGAGTTGAATAATGATGTTAGAGACCAACAAAAGAAGAGGGACTAATTTAAGTATTTTTTAGAAGTACAGAGATCAATTTAACTTAAAAAGTCAAAGTAGAGACCAAATAGAACAAAAATAAATAAATGCTGGGATCAGAAATGTACTTAAGCCTTAATATTTATGTAAGCAAAATTGTATGCTTAACAATGCTAAATAAAAATTTTCAGGTGAAAGGTTTGGATGTAGATGCACTCTTTATATCACACATCCAGGTAAATCAGGCACAGAAACAAAGGCGCCGTACTTACCGTGCTCACGGAAGAATAAACCGTATGTTGTGAAAGCCTGTTATTTTGTGATTCAGTAAATCAAAATCGGTTATTATTGTTGATGGTAAATGGTCATTCTTTGTGCAGCCTATATGTCTTCTCCATGTCACATTGAGTTGATTTTGTCCGAGAAAGAAGAGCCTGTGAAGAAGGAGGTAATTTGATTGAATGAAAGTGTGTTAAAAATTTTACAGTACGAAGGTATATATATATATATGTTTGTCATCTCTTATTTTCTGACTCTGATTTTGCAGCCCGAGACCCAGTTGGCAACTAGCAAATCCAAGAAATCTCAAGCTCTGTGAAGTGGTGCCTCTTCATAAGTCATCCTTAATTTTAAGTTGGGTCAAGGGCCTCCTTTTTTTGTGTTTTGTTGATTAAAGGGAGGAATGTTGCTACTATTTGATGATATAGTTGGTTGAGCTATTTATTTAGATGTAATGGATGGTTTTTTCTTTTTCATTCAAAACCATGTTTGGGTAAAATTCCTTTTGAGATTTTGATTGGAAACCTATTCTTGTTTAGGAGTTGATTAAGTTGCTTAGAACCGATGAATATGTAATACTAGATATTAATATCATTATTATATTTAGTTATCCTGGAAACAAAATGAATTATTTTATGAACTTCGTTTGAATTTTTTTCAAGTATTTATTGTTCAACACATTGCAGGTTGTCTGAAGATTATAATCAATTGAAGGAATTAGTTCTTGGAATCATCAATCCTTTTTGCCTTCATTCTCACACAATACCCTTTTATGGTAGTTGTCAATTCTGGAGTTGAGGTGTAAATATTGTTGCCTTATGACCTCCCAATTCTTTTTTATTCAGTAAAATACTTAAAAGTTTTGGTTTTTGGTCAGTAGATGCGAAGAATAGTAGAGTTAAAAGAAAAGGACTATTTTAAGATTTCAGTTGTACAGGAAGGTTTTTTACTTTTTATTTTTAAAATCTATTTGTATTTTGTTTATAAATTATACAAGTTAATTAAAGATGATAATACTAATAAGAATAATTATAAATTTGAAGATTGAGATAAGTGAGTTGAATAAAAGTGGCGAATAGAGAATAAAAAAAAATTGCGAGTTGTAGAAAGAAGAGGATTGGAATTTTGATTTTCTCTAAATGCCTTTATCCTCTGTTTGGATCATAGTGAATGATAGAATTTTAATGCATTGTACTTGAAAAAATTGTGTTTGTTTCAACTTTCAATTGTAACAAATGATATTTGACTGATAAATTTATGATGAATTTTTAAACTATTGAATTGATGTTATGTGATCGGTATGCCTTTTTTTTCCCCTTATACTCCCATCTAATATAATTAATTTCATTTTTATCTTTACAATTAAAAACCTTATTTTCTCTTATTCCTCAATCAAGACGCACGCATGGAGGACAAACAGCTCCAATCTTCTTCTCTGATCGATATTTGCTTGTTTTTCTTCTTTGATTGCTTCCAAAGGTTGAGTTCTTGATTCTACTTCTGATTTGCATTCTTCACATTCTCAATCGGTAAGTATTTTTGTATTTTTTTCTTTGATTTTTCCAGCATCAATTTTTTTCGTTTTTTTTTATTTGCATGTATTTTTTTTTCATTTTTTCTTTGATTTGCATGTATTTCTTTTGTTCTTCACCTTCTAATCTTCTTTGAACAATGTTCTTCTTGGTTATGGTAAACTTCCTCTGTTTATTTTTTTCTTTTTTCAAAGCTTGAATCTGTGGTGGAAGAGGAGTTGTTACCCATTGTTATTTTTGCAAGTTTATATGCTTTTTGTTTAAGAACTCAACATTTTAAGAACTTTTACTCAAAATCCTTGCATGAACATACTCCATTCTTGAAATGATCGCTTAGGTTAGTTAATCCGGCCTTAGATGCCTTCGTTGATTAAATCGCCGTAGGAATGGAGATCTTTCTTAGAGGGCTAGAATATCTAAAGCTGAGCTGGAGAATATTCAATGCCTACTTTGAAATTTAGAAATGACTCTCTTGCTGCATAAGAGAAAAGGCTAGCCGTGAAGAATAGAGAACTTAGTACAGCTGAGTAAGCTTTTTCAAGCAAAAGTCAAGAATTTCTTGGATAGATTTTGAAGATCAGAAGACTGGTGTCTACTAAAATAGTAAGCTCCAAAAGATTAAAAAAGACTATTAGGAACTCTTTATAGTGTAGCTCTGATGGCAGAATGAAGAGTTCAAATTTAGAATGAGGCTGTGGCTTTCTATCAGAATAGAACCTGTTAGGGAAGTCTGATGAAGATCTTTTGGGGGGATAAATTTCTTATTTCAAAAGCCTATTACAGATAGAGATTTTTTCATATTGCAAAGGTATGCTGCTAGAGGAATTTACTTAGGATGAGATCAGGCAAACCATTTTTTCCCTCAATGGGAACAAGGCTCCTGGGCTTGATGGTATACAACTGACTTTTAAAAGCGAGACTGTAGTAATCTTGGTGGTGAGATAGCTAGAACTATTTCTAACTTTTTCATGAATTGCAAGCTCTTTCATGAGGTGAATGCCACTACTATTTGTTTGCTTGGTCCCAAAGTGAACCCTAAAACAATGAGTGACTATAGGGCTCTTTCCTCTTGTCAAACTCTCTACAAATTCATTTCCAAGATCTTAGTTAATACACGATCTCTGACAATAATTTCGTGCCTATAAACTCTTAAAATAAGCTTGGTGGCAGAATGACAATCCTCACACACCCTCAAGTTCTTGATAATGTGAATTTGAGTGCCTGGTTTTGTGTTAAACAATCCAAAAACAATTGCAAGCTTTTCGCTCTACCTCTTCCAAGAGCCTTACTCTTTTTAACAACTCAACCACACAACCATAATGCTCTATTTTTGGCTCAACACCATAAATCTTTGCATTAAATTAAATATCTTTAGACCTTTATCAACTTATCCTGCGTGAGCACAAGCATTTAAAACACAGACAAGAGTAATCCCATTTGGTTTCAATACCCTCTCCCTCTGTATTTTGAAGAAGAGTTCAACAGTATCCTCGCTCTGCCATGCATATCTAGTCCTCCCATCAATGCGTTCCAAGATAAAAATTCATTGTCCTTCATATTCTCAAAAACATCCCAAGCCAAGTCTGTAACACCCCATCTATTATTATTATTATTAGTATTATTTTATTTTGATTTTTTTTTGTAATTTTTAAATGAACATATGAATTTTTATATGGTTTTAATTTAGTTTAATTTAATTAAATAGAAATAATAATAATAATAATAAAAGGAGGTAAAATTATTTTAGGAATTTAATTGAAAGCTTCTTTTAGAAGACTTATTTTCGATATTGTTAGTACATTTAAGTTATTATGTAAGGGATATTAATCAGAACCTTTTATTTCGCTTCCGCACTTATATTCTTTATATACATTTTCTTTTTAAATTTCCGGGGCTGTTACAGTTGGTATCAGAGCCGCGTTCCTCGGACTCATCCCTTACACAATGATACTTATAGAAACACCAAACCAATGAATCATTGCTAAACCATTCCTTGTGAAATGCAGGTGCAGAGAGATGAGAAGAGGAAGACCCCCACTAAATCGAACAGCTCGGGATGGTTCGCTTCGAGAGGATGTTGACAGAATATTTGAAATGCTGGAGAGGCTCATTGCTGCCCAACAGGGTCGAGAGGAGAGAAGGGAACTACCCAACTCTCCCCCACTGCCAAAAGTTGAGCCACCATTGCAGCAAGAGAATCCTGAACCACCTCGGTACGAGCCTGCTCCTCCACAGTACCACCCGGTGCCACCACCGCAGTATAATCCAGTGCCTCAGCCGCAGTACTGCCCGACACCACCACAGTATAATCCGGTGCCCCCACCATACCAGCAAGTACCACCACAGGCCCCTCAGTTTATCCTCAGCCTGGCCCAGTTCCTCTTCCGCGGGACCCAGCTCCTTCCATGATTGACCCAAGCTACGTAGAGAGGTACAGGAGACTGAACCCATCCACTTTTGCAGGGGAATCCTCCTTTGAAGATGCCCAGTATTGGTTAGCGGAGACGGAAAAGGTTTTCAAGACCTTAGCGGTGGCTCCCGAGTAGAGGGTCACTCTTGCTACCTACATGTTGGTGGGAGTAGCAGACCGCTGGTGGGAACTCAAGCAGACCACCATGCCTGTTCTAGTCACTTGGGAACAATTCTTAGCAGCCTTCCATGCAGAGTACTTTCTAGAGCACATCCAAAACCTGAAGGAGATGGAGTTTGTCCAGTTGGTCCAGGGAAACATGACGGTGTCAGAATATGCCCGTAAGTTCCTAGAGTTGGGCTGATACTCCCCTAAGACGTTGATGGACGAGGGCAGGAAGGCCAGGAGGTTCTAGTGGGGACTCCGCCCAGAGATCAAGGAACATCTATTTTTACTGGAGCTCAAGACATACTCAGTTGTCCTGGCCAAGGCACAGTTAGTTGAGAGGAGCCTCCACACCCTCCCTCGGCCAGTATGGAACCACCGACCCTCAGCTCCACTCCGTAGACCAGCACCTACTGCGCCTGTCCAACTGAACAAGAGGCCCAGACCGGTGATCCAGGCTCCAATGGTTGGACGTGGTAAGATCTGTCAGCATTGCGACAGAGATCACGGGGACCGACCATGTTACCGCCTCAACAATACTTGTCGCATTTGTGGTAGTGCCCAACACTATGCGAGAGAGTACCCAAGGAACCAGAATCAGGGAAGACCTCCTATCTAGGGCAGGGTTTACAACCTCATCCAGCAGGATGCCGATGTCGATCCAAACGTAGCACATGGTATGTACACTATCTGTAACTATTTTGCTCATGTTTTGTTTGACACTGGTGCATTGCATTCATTTGTTTCACCTGTTTTTGCATCCAAATTTAATGTATTGCCTGATAAACTGGATTCAATGTTAATTGTATCTATTGCTGGGAGTGCAACATTAATAGGAGAAGTTGTCTACAAGGCTTGTGCTATAGAGATAGCAAATAGAAAACTGAGTGTAGACCTGAAAGAATTAGACACAGGAGATTTTAATATAATTTTAGGGATGAATTGGCTAGCGGCGTATCACGCCACCATAGATTGTTTTAGCAAAAAGATTGTATTCAATCCTCTAAATAGGGAGTCATTTTACAAATGAATAAAATTATTTAGTACTTATTACTTGATGATAATTTTCTTACTTGTCGAGTGCGTTAACTTTGCTATTTTCTCTAACTAGGCAAACTCAAGAAAGAGAATTGTATTCAAGAGATCCCGGTAGTACGAGACTTTCTATATGTATTTTCGGATGAGCTGCCCGGACTACTAGTAGACAGGGAAGTCGAGTTCACCGTAGACTTACAGCCTGACACCCAACCTATTTCGGTTGCTCCTTACCGCATGAGTCGCGTTGAGATGGAGGAATTGAGGAAGCAGATCACTGAATTGTAAGACAGTGGTTTTATCAGACACAGTGTGTCCCCTTGGGGAACCGGAGTCACTTTTGCCAGGAAGGGAGATGGAATATTGAGGCTATGTATTGATTACAGATGATTGAACAGGGTCACAATCAAGAACAAGTATCCAATTCCCAAAATTGATGACCTCTTTGATCAGTTGCAGGGTGCGCAGGTCTTCTTTAAAATAGACCTGCGATCAGGT